ATTCATCCACTGATCACCCAATTACTACTAGGAGTGGGAGTAATTCGAGATGTCAAATGAATCACAAATACTGGAAGCAACTCAAAAAACTAGTGCAATTCACAATTTGACAAAATCAATTCACAATCTCACAATGCAATATATACTATTTCCAAATACTTGGCAACTTGAATTTGCAATCACAGATTCTCAGAGAGCCAGAGCCCAGAGGCAACAATGAACTGGCGGTACACTGGAAGTTTGTGCCGCTTCGAGCAATTAAAGAACAAAGTGCTAATTTAATATGTTAAAAACAAAAAACAAAAATTTTTTTAATTACAATTTACACAAATTGAAATAACAAAAAAATAATAATAATAATAAGGGAAAAAAAATTTGGGGTTCGCCTTTTGCTTTTTGAAATCTGGCTTCTTCTTTTGTCGGCTCGGCTGGTTGGCGTTGGCACTTGGCGCCTTGGCGGAACTGAGGACGTAAAGTCGGAGTCAGAGATGTGAGATGTCAAGATGAGAGTCTAGAGTAGGAGATATATAATAATGGACTGTCGGAGAGGGAAAGGGAACGACTGTTGTACTGTGACGACTGTCCAAGACGATGGTTGACGGAGAGGGAAGGGAACGGCAGGCTTTGTCACCGGTGGAGAGGGAAGTGGGTGGCGAAGTGTGAAATCGTCACAGACAAAGTCATGAAGGGTAGAAATTTTGAAATGAATGAATGGGTTTGGGTCAACAATTGATTCAATTGAATTTTGATATGAATGGGTCTAAAACGGGTCATGACCTTGCACAATTGGGCTTCTCTCTCTATGCTGGATCGAGAATTGAGTTACTTGGTTAAACAAACAAACAAACCTTAAAAAAAAAAAAAAAAAAAATTCGGGCATCTGCCCGCATTGGACGTATAGTGGCTCCGCCCCTAATTCTACCTATTCTCATTTCCAAAAAAAATGGGAGCCAACCAGGGCCTAAGTTTTGAGCGAGACAGGTCTTGATGGTAGTCAATTCAAGTGGTTTATGTCAGGCTTTTGCTAGCCTAAAGAATAGGCATTTCCAGTTTAATTGGTCAGAAATGCTGTTTGTACAGCTTATAAATGCTGTATATTTTTACAACCCTCTCATAGAGGTGGGACTCGTGATTAAAATAATCTTGAATCCCACCACCTACATGTGAGAGGATTGTCAAAACTGATGTATATGGTGATGGTGATGTACATGTAGCAACTTTCTTAATTGATAGTTTCTGGTTTAAATTATTACATGGGATAATGTCACCATGCACCTAAAATTTGAAATAATTTCTCTCTTTACATTTCGAAACTAATTCACCATATACACTACAATAAATGCAGTACTTTTAAAAGGGTAAAAATATATGAATTGTACACTGGATATGTTAAAAGCTTAAATTATTCCACCATACACGCCTTAAAATGCACCCACAATTGACGCCATATAACCAACCCTCAAAAGGAAGACAAGAA